CTATATTTCATGTAAAGTTGATTCCAGATTTAATGCCATAACAACTTTGTCTCACAAATGTTTTGGGGAGCATGCCTCCAGACCCTTGTAGCATTAGCATGCTGAATGTGCTTCACATAATATGTGTTGGTTTTTGAGCTCCCAAATTAGGCCCCTACTTTCAGACATTCTGCGTACGGGCCTGTATGTATTTATGTTTATTTCATACTGAAACGTCTTACAAGAATTCATTACAAAAGAAAACGTGCTTATGTATACAAGTGCATTTCGCAAGTGTAAAACAAAAACATTTTGTTGATTTAACAAAAGTGCTGGACTTGGTTATTCCAATGTTGAAGTATCAGAAAAAAATTATTTCAGTTAGGCTAAAGAAAACAACATCGCATCGTTTATGTACAAGGCTTTTAACGAATTTGTTTACCTATTCATTGTGGTAGGGAATTAATAAAACACTTGCTGATTTATTTACTTGATTAAAACAGTGATTTTAGAAACAAAAAATCCCTTAAACACAACAGGCTGAACTTTAATTACTTCCAACCAGTGATGGAAATGGGGGTACACGCCGTGTACCTAGTTCTCAGCTTGCCTTATTTTCCCCATTGGTCAAGTTTAGTACTTACTGAAAATGTTTATTAATCCTATCGTCACGGGTCAAAGGCCATGTTATCGCGTTTGTTGACTTTCATTCAAAATATTATTTGACTACTATTTTATGAATTTATGTCAATAAGTTTGGTATCAAATTGTAGATTATAATTCAAATTTTTGTATTATATATAAGTTAATTTCATAATTTAAAAGTAAATATTAAAAAACACACCTAAATATTGATTTTGTGTCACGTGGTATGTTGAATGCAGCATTGGTTCCAATTATATGTTTATGTTGTCAAATACAAAGTCTAAAGTTTCTTATGAATTAGGAACTCAAATTACTGATATTGACAAGCCAGAATACAAAACAAGAACCTCCTTTCTTTTCTATACCAATCATCCCACTGCTCCGTCTAAGAGTGTATCTAGTTCCTAAAACCCATTTCCTTTCCTGCTTCCAACTACATAAACTTAAAAGTTAAAGCAAATAACACTGTCACGACTCTACAATCACATTAGGCCTACTGAGGCCTAAATCAAGTTCTATAAAAGTTCGCAGTTTTAAACAGATGGCGTCTGAATACCCCCAGTAACTCACTAAATTTACTAACAAATTTTC